GAGGTGCAGGGTCTTAGCAGGGGTGTGAATGAGGGGGCTGGAGGTGCGGGGTCTGGGCATGAAGGGGTGGGGGACACTTATTTGCTTTCACGCAGCATTGCAGACACTGTGTAACATGGCCTTCCACTACTCCCATTCACCAGACTGGGAGCAAAGAGGAAGCCTCCAGGAAGTGAGTCCCTGCCAGGCATTTCTCCCAGTTGGGGGAAGGAAAATGGCAGCATATAGAGCCATTTTTGGCTCCACTTGTTCCTGCATGCCAGCTCCAGCAGTGGGGCTCAGGGGTTTCTCTCTCCATTCTCTTCCCTCCATTCTCTCCCCACACAGGAAGCCGGCACTCACATCCCAATCTTGCGGGGGGCCATAAGGCTGTAGCACCAGTGCTGGCTCCCTGCTGTGGGTGGAGAAAAGGGGTCTGAGCTGGAGCTCCAAAAGAGTCATATCTGTCTTCTTCACGAGCCATAGGTTGCTGACCCCTGATCTACAAGGTATTTGGTCTTGCTGTGAGGGCAGGGCACTGGACTTGATACGGTCCCTTCCAATTCTAGTATTCTATGATTCACACATGCCTACCTGACTCATAGCACTGGGACCTAACAGAATAAGGGATAGAAGGCTAGGTGCAGGCTGAGCACAAATCACTGCGATGCATGTACACTGCACCCGTAGCTCGAAATAAGATACACAATTTGAGCTACACAAATTGAATATCTTATTTTGATCTAATTTTGAAATAGCTTAGACAGCGCCAAATTTTGAAATAAAGCACTACTCTGAAATGTCCTTTACCTTCTTTCCATGAGGGTTATAGGGACTCCAGAATAGTGTGCCCATTATTTTGAAATCTGTTTTGAAATAATGGGCACATTTAAAGACATGGAATAGCAATTTTGGGATATTTCTGGTATCCCAAAATAGCACTGCTGTCTTCATGTAGCCTGTCTGATGAATCCAGAAAGCAGACTCACAGATGGAGCACCACTTGGATTTAATTTGGTGCTTTTATGGTGCTGTGCCATCCCTGGAAGGTGCAGAGGGGCAAAAAAATTGGCCAGTGGGGAAAAAGGTGCTGTGAGGATGATTGCTGCTCATCACTGACCTAAATTTTGATCTTCTCCCCCAAAAACCTTAAGCAGATGTCAATGTGGGAACTTTAAAAACTACTGTCCATTCATGTCATGGAGCCAGAGAAATTGGAGGAAAGCAGGAGCTGAGGGAGCATGGCCACACGGGGGGCTGTGTCTACATTGGCACCCTTTTCCGGAAAAGGGATGCTAATGAGACAAGTCGGAATTGCAAATGCCG